AGCATGTGCGACTTTGAATTCGCTATAGGTGCATGCAGCTGCATAGCATCAGTCCTGCCAGTCGACCTGCCCTGCGAGGCATGGCTGTGGCACTGGAACAGTGCAGCTGCCCATCAAAGCAAACCCAAAGTATCCGAAGTTGCACTGATCTATATGGCATGTTGCCTGCATGAGAACAGGCTGCACAACTCATGAAAGCTAGGAAGTGCATCTGCACTGCATGCATGAGTCTGCTATATGAAAAACCCCCGGAGCAGCTTTCATGATTGCAAGTTGGCGATGCGATGACCACAAAAAAAAACATGAAACAGGGTTCATTTGCCATGGGTTTGGGGATTTATGGGACCGTCCCGCCCCCCCCCCCCCCTCCCCCAAAGCCACCAGGCCAAAGACAAAAACGGAGGACTGCAACTCTGCATGTACAACAGCCTTGTCCCAACCCTTTCCCGACGGCCCCTCACGGGCCCTGGCCCTCTAAATCCGGGCCCTCCCTGTAAACAGCCCGGGGCCCAGGTCGTGCGTAGCAGGGCCCGGGTCGCGCTAAGCAGGGCCCCAACGAGCCTTAGGGATACATATATATTGTGGTTTTAAACAAGTTGTGTCGAGGCATAGCTGACAAGCTTGAGCCCCTCAACTTACAGCCTCTCATCTGTAAGCTAGCACATGTAAATTCAACGTCATGAACGTGATGTAAGCTACTACAGCCCAATTCCCCAAACCCGCTTGCAACGGGCCTTCGGCAACTTCGTCCGGTAAATCCGAAAAACCTGAAACCCAAACCCTCAACCCTAAGCTCTAAACCCTAAAGCCTAAACCCTAAACCCCAAACCCTAACCCTAAACACTAAACCCTAAACCCTCCTACATCTTCAATGCGCCCTCGAAACAGGAAGCCCCAGCCTATGAAGCGTCGAATGCATCAGTCATCGGCCGTAATTTGGGGGCCTTAATAATTAGAATAGTTGTTGTTTTTTTTTTTTTTTTTTGGGGGGGGGGGGGGTTAGGGTTTAGGGTTTAGGGTTTAGGGTTTAGGGTTTAGGTAGGGTTAGGGTTTAGGTTTAGGTTTTAGGGTTTAGGGTTAGGGTTTAGGGCTTAGTTTGTGTTTTTTTTTTTTTTTTTTTGGGGGGGGGGGGGGGGGGGGGGGGGGGTAATGTACATCAGAGAATACACAACTTCAGGCTTTAGCTAGTTTGCTTACTGTAGCCCCACACTCCTGACACGATGCCTTGAGTCCATCGTGTCTCCTTCCGGCCTGCAAGGACTACAAGGTTTAGGGCTTAGGGTTTAGGGTTCAGGGCCCCCCCTAGGTATAAGCAGAGTAATAAGGACCCTAAATTGAGTTAGAAGGATCCCAAATAAGGTTAGAAGTCCTTGTAAGGGGTCCCTTCCTTGTATAGTGCCGCATAGTATACACCCTTTCACCTCAACACCCTAAGCCCCTGAACCCTCAAAGGCCCAGAAGCCCTAGGCCCTATAAGCCACTTAACCCTAGACTCGAAACGTCCCCAAACCCTAAACCCTAACCCCTAAACCCTAAGTCTTACTCCCTAAACCCTAAATCCTCAACCCTAAACCCTATCCTCGACCAAGGCTCGGCATTCTTGTTTTCAACTGGCACAAAAAGGCGATTGCGCACCACGACTTTACGATGCGATGCTTGGGTTACATTGTTTGGGCCCCGTGGGGGGATTAGGATTTAGGGCTTAGGGCTTAGCGCTTAGGGCTTAGGGTTTAGGGTTTAGGGTTTAGGGTTTAGGGTTTGGGGTTTAGGGTTTAGGGTTAGCGGCCCTAAAGTCTAATCAAGGGTGCACTTTTTGTTTTGAGGCCAAGGGGGCTTACTCGCTAACCCCAAGCATCGTTTCGCCTGTTGTGGCCCTGGTCTCTTTACAGGGTTTAGGGGTCAGGGGTTTAGAGGTTTGAGGGGTTTAGGGTTTAGGGGTGTTTGCCTGTCAGGAGATACAGGTGCAAAAGCTTTAGGCCCGCGGCCATGGGGCTCATGACAACCCAAAACCCTAAAGCCTAAACCGTAAACCGTAAACCCTAAACCCTAAACCCTAAACCCTAAACCCTAAACCCTAAACCCTAAGAAACCCGAAACCCTTCCCTAAACCCTAAAGATGGAACCCTGAACCTTCCAAGCATGCACCAAAGCCAACCCTCAGTCTCCTCAGGAAGTATGTGGGACTGGCGCTCGAAGCTGGTCGGAACTTGGTGCCTGCCGACGCCCCCTGCCTCTAGAAGGGTTTAGGCTTTAGGGTTTAGGGTTTACCCTAAACCCTGAACCCTAAACCCCTAAACCCTAAACAAAGCCCTCAACCCTCTGGCAAAAAAATGGTTTAAGGTAGGCTGTTGCGTTGGCTTTCTAAGGGACGCTACGTGGTCCCTGAATATGGCCCCTGGCCTTCCTTTTAAAGGGGTCGTGACAATATGGGCCCATATGGGTCTTATAGGATAAAACAGCGTTGTATAAGGGTTCCCCAACTCGGGGTCCCCTCTAAAAGGGACCCTGTAGCTATCCTACGAGTTTTGGGGAGATCGGGGTAGGCAAAGAAAGGCATCGCATGGGGCTTATGCCTCAGTGGTTTTTTGGTTCGTGATGACTGGCAACATGTCGGGCCTCGGTGCGCTGAGCCACTAGCGATGCATGCGCGCGAAAACTCTCCAAGAAGTTTCGGGGCTTGGCGACCTTTCAGAGGCAAGTTTGCTCAAAAGCTCGTCTAGCGCAGCACTTTGTTCGGACATTTCTCCGTCGCGGGACGCAGTGCTGCCTTATTGGCAGGCCTTCGCATTCGGGATTGACCTTGACCAATTCGCTTGCTTTCACCCAGCAATCCCAAACGAGTAATGAAGGGTGTATGTAAGGGTTCACCGGTATGTGGGGCCGGGATCACAGGGATTTTGGGGGAGATGACGACAATGCCCAGGTTCGCGTTGGCCATGATCCAGCTTGCTTTTACCTACAGTTCCCTGGCTCTCTGAAGCATGCTTAACACACGGCTGGGGCGCTTCAAAGGTTGGCTTCAGGCTTTAGGGTGTAGGGTTTATAGGGAAAAGGGTTGCGGTTGGCAGACTGTTCCGGAAAGGCCTCAGGGTGTGCTGTACTTGAGAAGGTGGGTGCATAGTTCTATCTAGGGTTTTGAAGTACAGTACCTTAACTAGGGTTATGCTAGAGGTTGCCCTGCTTCTAACTACCCGTGAACCTTCAAGGAAAGGAGGGAACCCCTGACTGTACTAACTACAGTTCAGGGTATTGTAACCAAATTTAGGATCCTTACAACCCAATTTTGGGGTCCGGTACCCCAAACCTTGTCATTTGGTTTGGGAGACGTTAGCTTCCCATCCGGAACTCCTCCGATTTGGGGGTTTACGAAAATAGGGGACCCCTAAAATCGATTTCTCCTTTTCCCAAAATCCCCCAAGTAGTAGGATCCCCTTGTCACTGTAGTAAGGACCCCAAAAAGGTACCCCTAATCTCGTCAACCCATCTTGCATCAGAGTTTGTGCAAAGGTGCCAAATCTGCATCGCCGCTGCTGCCGAGCTTGTCGAAGGAAGAGGGGGGCGAGGACACGGCGAGAACCTCACTCCGCACCCTAAACCCTAAACCCCCAAACCCTAAACCCTAAACCCTAAACCCTAAACCCTAAACCCCAACTACGGCCGAAACCCCCAGACTCTGCGCCTCTTGAGCAGCACACTTCAAAGCTGGACGGGTGGCAACAAGAACCTCGAATTCAGTCCCTAGAATTTTTGGATTGCCCCAAGGTTTAGGGCTTAGGGCTTAGGGCTTAGGGTACACCTGCAGTCTCTGACCTCTTGTGCTTGCGCAGCTTTGCAGGCGATAGCTTTGGTTTGTTGCAAGTTTTCTTGCGGTTTGAAAACGAAATCCGTGCGCACGCTCTTCGTGATGGACTGCGTAGAAAAAGACCGCGGGCCTGGGATTCAATGTCTGTGCTATAGTGGTCGGAATAAGTACTAATATTATTCCCTTATGGTACCCACAAAGTTAGACTATAATGACCCCCACGACCCTATTCTAATTATTCAGGCCCCCCTCTAGATTACTCCTGGAGAATCGGACTGCGTATTTGCTACGACTTGGTATGGGAATCGTGAGTGCTGGAGGGGCGGGCCTTGGAATTCAGTTCACGCAAAAAATGTATCTTTGAGGCCCTCAGGTGTGTTCTAGATTCACATGGAATATAGTGTCCCTGCGGTAAAAAACCCTGTGTTAGAATTTGCAGTAGAGTTTCCTCTTCGATTCGTGTCGGTTCCGGGGCCTTCGTGTTATGGCGGCTCGGTTCTTGCCGGTTCTGTGGGGCATTCGTGTCGGTCGGTTCGTTCCAGGCACTATCAGTTCGTGCGGTTTCCGGCTCCTCCAGTCAGACATCTGCACAGAGTTTGCCAGCCTTAAACGCTCATGATGCTGGTTGCCAAGGGCGGGATAGGCTGTTGGCGATGCGGGGCACGTACTTGCCCACCCTCAACTCTCGGGCGTCCGGCTCTGTTCGCATGGGCGCTCGGTTCTAAGCCCTAAACCCTAAACCCAACACCCTGAACTCGAAGCGCTTCCTGCAAGCTTCGGTTCGTTTCGGTTCCGGTTCCATGCAGTTCCAGTCAGCTCAAGGTTCTTGGCGGATCGGTTCGTGCGGAGAAGTTCGGTTCCGGGCCTTCCTGAATATTAACCCCAAACCCTATATAAACCCAAAGCCCTAAAGGAATATTACCCCTAAACCCTGAAGGAATATATGCCCTAAACCCTATCAACCCTGCACCCTATATAAACCCAAAACCCGTCAACATTAACTACCCAAGATACCCAATCCAAGTCAGAATCTCCAGAATCAATGTTCCCACCTGGTACTCGGTAGTCCCTTGGGACATGTGATATTTTCCCTTATTGAGTTTAGGAGGAAACCCCAAACCCTAAACAGCAAGGAATATTTGTTCAGAGGGTTTTTTGGGGCCATCCGAGAGTAGCACTTTGCGAGGACCTCTTCCTCATGGTCAGCTGCGTTCTGCTCAAGTGCTGGCTTTGCATTTTCATGTGCCCTGGTGGAGTGTGTGTTGAACATGTGATTCTGACACTTTGGTATTCTCAGGCTTCTACGAGGCGATTTTTGCAAGCACGCCCTGGTGGAGTGTTTGCACAGTTTATTCTGAAACTTTGGGTCCTAAGGGCGGTTGATGGGAATTATGGCTGAGGCGTCTTCGAGGCCCAAACCCGACTAAGCGGTGGGAGTTGACCAATCATGGGTTGAAAATAATGTTTCAAGCAACTTCGCGCCCGAATGCCAACCCCCTTCAAACCCTAAACCCTAAACCCCTTCAACTGCAGAGCTTATGCCCTGGACCCACAGCGCTCTTATTTCCTTTTTGTAGGGTTCAGGCTCCTTACACCCCATTGGTTGGGATGTCCCCCCCCCCAATTATACTAACAGTCCTTAATGGGGATTCTACTGAAGGGTACTAGAATCCCGATCAAGGACTTTGAGTAGAAGGCGGAACATCCCAACCCCTTTTGTCTAAAGACTCTCTGGGACTGAGATACAAGCACAAATCAACCTGTACTGTAAGGCCTTCTCTTACATGATGGGCCTTTTTTGGTTTTTGCTGAATGTAAGCCTTCCTGTAAAAATAGGTTGGTCCAAAGGGGGATCATAAAACAGAGAATCCCCGCCCCATAAAGTCCTGATCCATCCCTCAAGTGTCCGGTAAGCCTTGGCTTACTTTTGTGTACCTGCCTGTAGCCCCCAAAACCTACTGTAACTTGATAAGGAAGTATATGCGGATATCATAGTAAAGAACTCACATAGTGGTCCGTTTTGGGCTGAAACCCAGAACCCCTAACCCGCAGGGTACGGCTCCACACCAGCGGTGTCCGCATCCACGCCATCTCCAGCCCCTCCATCTCAGGGTTAAGTTTCAGGCTGTAGGGTTCATAGGGTTTAGGGTGTGTTTGGGGGTGGGCTCTCACGGTTTAGGTTGTTTTGAGGGTTCAGAAGACATCTTGAGGGTTTATGGGGCTTGTGAGGTTTTCAGAGGCGAGGCCCGGTAGAGATAACTAGGCTCGAGAAGCCTCCTGGGAGGGTCCTTAGGCTTAGGGTAGCTACATGGTCCCTTAGCATGGGCCGTTAAGTGGAGACCCCTTATATACCTCTTGTATACCTTACACAACACAACCCAAGGGCCCATACTTCAGAACCCTTTTAAAGAAGGTAAGGGACCTTATGCAGGGACCATGTAGCTACCCTTCGAGGGGTTGGGTGACATCAGCCCTCCGAGTCCCAGAGCCCAGTGGGCCCAGGTGGATAAGGGCTTTCGGCGGCTGTGAAGCTCTGAGGTCCTCAAATGCATCATTCCCATGCTTGGGGAACTTTACGATTTCGTTAATTTTCGGGTTTAGGGTGTAGGTTTGGGGACTTCCCACATGCTGCGCAAACCTTTTGAGGGCTCTATTGGGAGGGAGCCTCCAGCATTCCTCGGCTGAACCGGGCTCCTAAAGGGTTATAGTTATAACGCTCGCCCCCTAAACACAAACCCTAAACCTACAAGAGGATATGTGTGGGGTTTGAAGATTTAAGGACAAAACCCTCAAGTCTTCAGGGTTGGGTGCCCTTAATTATCTAGATCCCTACACCTAACCCCCCACCCACCCGATGGCATTATGCCATGCGTTCGTTGGTCTTTACGTTTTGGAATACGGGGGAAAAGGGTGGCTCTACACTTGAACATTAGACTGTTTGAGGCTCCTTGCTCGGCTCTGCCACGAAGCAGATGATCGCAGGGCGCTGAGTAGCGTTGGCAGTTGATACAACGTGGTTGGCTCGGGATTTCCCATTTCCTGTGGGTTAAAGCTGGCAGTACTGACAGACGGTGGAACACTGCCGAAGGTTGCTCACTTGGGGCTGAGATTTTAAGGAGGTTACTAGGCTACCCCAGTTGTTTTAGTGAGAGAGCATCGTTTAGTATTCGAGTATTCGAAGCATACTGCTGAGTGTCTGGAAACCCTACTCGAGCGGACGGAAGTTCTCACGACCCGCACCTTAGCTTGCTCAGGTGCAAAAACATCCTCCAGACTCTGAGGTATAAAACCTCCCTAGACCCTGATTACAGGAAGCCCCAAGGTCTATAAACCCGAACCTTGAAGCCCCTGAAGCATCCTAGAGCAGAAGCTCACCGTTTAAGTTTTTTCTTTCGGGCGGAGGTAGCAGCCCAGTGAGTTGAACTTTGGCCAAAACCGTCCTGAATCCGAGTTCTCCACATACAAGGAGCCCCCCCCCCCAGTTGTAAGTAGAGTTTAGGACCCTAAAGTGGGTTATAAGGATCCTAAATTAGGTTATCCCTTAGCTGTAGTTAGTATAGTAAGGGGACCCCTCCTTGTAACTGCTACAAGCTCAAAGCTCAGTCGGTGCCAGGTTGGGATGAGCCTTTACATTGTGTGCTGTTGACTTGCCAGACTACCGCACCCTGTCGTAGAGTTTGGGCTAGGTTTAGGGTGCGGGGTTTAAAGGGCTTGGTAGGATTTGGGTAAGTTGCCTTGGAGTTGACCTCCGTAGCGCCAACGCAACAGGTCATCACCTTGATGATCTTTGCGTCGTTCTCCCTGGCGTTTCTGATTATTTCCACGGGGAAAGCCACTGGTCCTGCTAGGAACCTCAAACCCACAGGCAGGCAGAACAAACAACAGCTTCAGGCTTCGGGCAGGATCGATTGTGTTCTGGAGCATGCAGCAAAACTCTTTCTGACTTGGTACCGCTGCCCTCGCAGGTTATTGGATTCCAGATTGCACAGTGTACAAGAGCAACAAAGCAGTGAAGATCAGAAGCGGGTCAGATTTGACCTTGGCTTCTTGAAGGTTCATATACGTACAGTTCTAAGTAGGGCGAATGTAGTTCTGCCTCAGTTCAAGTAGGCCCTCCTCCCTAAACCCTAAACCCTAAACCCTAAACCCTAAACCCTAAACCCTTGTCATGAACCTCCGAGTGGCAAGGATCATGGTTGGGTCCTCTCCTCTGCCTACCGAGGCAGCGCAACTAAACCCTAAACCCTAAACCCTGAACCCTGAACCCTTAACCCCAAACCCTAAACCCCAAACCCTCAACCCTAAACATGTCGGCTTTAGGGTCCAAGCTCTTGGGGCTTCGGAGGTTTAGACCTGTTTGGAGTCCCGGGGTCGAACTGGTCCTATAACTTCGCTGAGCGTTTGCATACTCTTCAAGTCGAGCAGTTTCTTTTTTGGATTTTGGTATACAGGGGCCCTAAAGCCTAAACCCTAAACCCCAAATACCCCAAATACCCCAAATCTCTAAACCCTGAACCCTAAGCCCTAAGCCCTGTTGCAAAACGCTTTAGGGCTGCTTCTTTGAGGTTGCAGCTTGCTCCTCGATCAGCGAAATCAGAACCCGGCAGAGCCCAACTACAAACCCTGAGCCTCATGCACTCAAAAAGGGGGTTTCCGAAAAATTTGGGGTACCTTACGGGGGTCCTTATTATAAGGCGATCCTACTATTTGTATATCGGGGGGCGTAAACCCGAATATGTCACAGTGCCTGCCCCGAACCCAAGTCGTGGTCATGCCTGTGTCTTTTGACGGCGCATGTTTTGCCCTTTCCTGGCGGTAAGCTTCTTCATGGTCGAGGGTCTAGGTACAGGCAACCCGAAACCCTGAACCTTGAGCCCTAAACTCTAAACTCCCTAAACCCTAAACCCTAAACCCTAAACCCTAATCTGTAAATCCTGTATCCCTAAACAAGAACACAGAGATTCGCATAGATTCGCAGGCCTCCTCTTCCATGACGGCAACGGCTTAGACAATCTGGGCCTCAATGTGCACTCCGAGGCTGCGGTTGTTCGAGGTTTAGGGTTTAGGGTTTAGGGTTTAGGGTTTAGGGTTTAGGGTTTAGGGTTTAGGGTTTAGGGTTTAGGGGACGATTCGGGACTGGTGGCCTCGGAGTCCATGTAGTAGGCCCAGAGGCCGATGTCTTCCTTTGGTGCCTGCGACCCTGAGAGTTAGGGTTTAGGGTTTAGGGTTTCGGGTTTCGGGTTTAGGGTTTAGGGTTTTGAGACCCTGAGACTTAGTTGTAGAGTAGCTAGCCTTTGACCTTGTTGGGGCAATAGAATCCCCTTCAAATCCCAAAGGTTAGCCTTTAGTTCCCTGAAACCCTGAACTCTACAAGACCCCACACCAGTGGTGTGCTCAAAATCATCTCATGGCACAAGAAAAGCGCGTAGCACCGATGTTCAAGCCATGTTCAGGGGTCCGATACTTGCCTGCGCACATGGGGGGGGGGGGGGGGGGCGAAGACTTGTGTATGTTCGTTTCCGCGGGGTGTTACACGCGACGGCGAGCCCCCAAGCAAGCCAAATGAAGTGTTTACTTTGCTCTTGTGCCCACTTTAGGCGACATTGTGTCTCACAGACAGAACAGAAGAGAAGAAAAGAGAAGAGACGAGGGAGAGGCAGTTGTTTGCGGGAGTGGTTCGCAAGCCCCTGGCTGGAAAGCCTCTGTTGTATTCTGTTGTGGGGACTTTGCCGGAGGACACATACAACCACAATGACCCATTGATGATGTCAACGAACTTTGTTGGATCAACATTCTTCAACATCATTGTCCTGTGCCTTGGCCATGTAGACGGGAGGGAGCATCAACATTTTTTGTGGGAGTGCTTGGGCAGTTGCTTAGCTATGATGATCTGAGGCCAGTTGATGCCACATTGCAGCCTACCTAAGGCAAGCATCATATCATTCATGTCTACTCAGTGGTCCTGTTAAGCAGGAATCGTTCGGAGTTTGCTGTAGCCTCTTGACAATGGATGCAAAGGGAGTTCTGCCAATCTTGAAGCGAAAGGGTGGGGGAAGGGGCCGTTTTCTGAACGCCATTTATCGCCCCTGGAACTTTTTTGAACGAAGGGGAGGGGCGATGTGCACGGGATCCTCCCCCTAAACCCTAAATTCTAAACCCTAATTAAGCAACAACAGCCCCTAAACCTTTGTAGATATTTTGGTGGGCATTGGGGTTCGAGGTGGCCACTAGGGTTATCCACCGAGGAATCTCATCATTGCCGTCTACAGCAATGAGTACGTGGCTTGTCTCATTTCGGGGTCACGACTTCAGAGATTGGAGGTTCGGATGGTCCCCTTATAGCAGCTAGTTACAGCTTGTTTTGGTAGGATGCCAAGACAACGAGCAAGTCAGGATAACACGGACATCTTTCGTTTTGCACAGACGGCGTGCGTACATGCGGATCGCGCACGGGGAACAAGCAGGACATCACCATGAAGCAAGTTGTGCACCCAAGGTCGTATCTGCCGGAACCCCCAATCAGAGTCCCAAGAGCCCTAAACCCTAAACCCTAAAACCCTAAACCTCCTTATTGAGCCCCCCCTTTCACACAGCGACTAAGGACCGCGTTCAGCAACAAACGCCGCAGTACTTCCTGCTTGCCCGGGCAAAGTACTGCGTCATGTGGCCTGCCCTACGAGAGTTTAGGGTTTAGGGTTTAGGGTATATAGGGCTACGAGAGTTGGCGCAGGGATGCAAGTGGGGTTCCCGAAAGACTTCACTGCGGTCTTAGAAGGGAATCTTACCATTTAGGGGTCCAGCTAGACACGCGCAAAATGGCCAAATAGCTGCCTTCCCTACTTCTGAGGGTGGCGCGAGTTCAAAACAGCACCAGGGGACCACGTCAAACGTGCATAATGGTAAATCGTTGTTTGGGAATTTGGGGCTTGGGGACCGAGGGAGCTGCAGTTCCTGGATAGCTAAGATTTGAGCTGTTCAGGTTTTAAATGCTTAGGCCGTTGTAAGGGGGGGGGTCATGTTTTCATGGGGCTGCAGCTTGGGTCTCTTAAGCTCGGGGCAACTTCTTCCAAAGCAAAGAAGCACTTTCAAGAAGCGCCAGTCCTCCACAGCACATCTGTACAGTCGCTAGGCAACACTCACCCTAAACCCTAAACCCTAAACCCTAAACAATAAACCCTGAACCCTGAACCCTAAACTCTAAACCCTAAACCCTAAACCCTAAACCCTAAACCCTAAACCCTAAACCCTAAACCCTAAACCCGAAACCCTAAACCCTAAACCCTAAACCCTAAACCCTAAACCCTAAACCCTAAACCCTAAACCCTAAACCCTAAACCCTAAACCCTAAACCCTAAACCCTAAACCCTAAACCCTAAACCCTAAACCCTAACCCTAAACCCTAAACCCTAAACCCTAAACCTCAAGCTAGGTGCTACCTCTCCTGCAGCCTCCTCGGATGGCACGGCCCGGACCTGCAGCGCAGTGTGCGAGTCGCCTCGGGAGCGAGTGCCGCCTTGGCACTGCGCCTTGGGGCGCTTAAGGTCGAGTTAAACCCTTAAGGGTTTAGGGTTTAGGGCCTAGGGTTTAGGGTTTAGGGTTAGGGTTTAGGGCTTAGGGTTTAGGGTTTAGGGTTTAGGGTTTAGGGTGCTCAGTTGAAGACAGCCTTCGGAAGAGCACTTCCTTGTGCGTTTGCTCTCCCGTAAGTCTCAAGTTCTGCGGCTTGAAACTCCAAACCCTAAGGGAAAAAACCTAAACCCTAAACCCTAAACCCTAAACCCTAAACCCTAAACCCCTAACCCTAAACCCTTAAACCCCTAAACCCCATAAACCCTCAACCCATCTAAGGTCAGCCGCACCCCATCGCACCCCTAAACATTTCTTTGTCGAGAGGAGTTTGTTGGGTAGGGACCGCGAAGTCTTGAGCAGTCTCTTTCACTTAGCCCATCCTTCACAACGTCCATTTCTAAACCTTTTCTGCTGCACTTACGACTTATTTGGCTTAAACTTCTTCTGCTTCTCCCTAAACCCTGAACCTTAACCCCTAAACCCTGTTACACGCTCTTCATGGCCGTCTTGTATACTTAAGTGCTTTCTTACAAGCATGAGCCAGAAAGCCGAAGCGCACGACAAGGAAGCTCCTCAGCCTCAGCTCCAATCGTTGGGGTGGACTTGTTTCCATGGAGGTGCAGTATGCCCCCCCCCCCCCCCCCCTTCCCCTGGCTCCAAAGTTAGGGTTTAGGGTTTAGGGAGAGTCGAGGGCCAGGTTCTTTGATCCTAAAGCCCACAGAGCCGAGTTTATAGCCAAGCACATGCCAAGGACTGCATTCTTCCTTGAACCCTAAACCCTGAAACCCTCAAACCCTAACGAACATACAGTAAACTGCAAAAAGTTGGAGCATCCTCATCCTCATACCCCTAAAGGTATGCTAAAGGGAATCCCAGCTCTAATCATCCTTAACCATGTTCCAACTTTCTGGAGTTTACTGTAGAGCCAAGGACCATGTTCTGGGTGCTGCCTTCTGTGAACCTGTGGATATGGGCCGTGATCCTGGCCCTTAGCCAGGCCCAGCGTTGTAAACGAGCGCTTCCCCATCTGCCACTCCCCTCCCCCCCCCCCCTGCCCCACATACTCCTTAAGAAGGCGGCCCAAGCGGGCTGACCCTAAACCTTAAACCTAGACCCTCGATGGTGAGGGTTCAGGGTTGACCGTTTAGGTATGGCCGTAGAAGAATCGAGCGCATCCTATGCGACTTGCTGCCAAGGCTTAGTCGTACTCAGCACTTCCTGGCTAATTATTTCATTCCCAAACCCTAAACCCTAGTTGCCTGGTTTGCATTTTCGCTCAGGAATTGGGCGGCCCAAGCCTTGATTCAGTGATAAGGGCTGAAGCCCCAACACGCCTCCAACAGACATACCTTGTGGTTTGGAGTTGCCAGTGTCGGGTTTGTGAGGGGTTTAGGGTTTAGGGTTTAGGGTTCAGGGGTATATAGGGCTTTGGGTGGAAGACAAAACATTTTTGCTCGGAGGTGGCCTTCATCTCAAGCTTGGTCCAATGTGACTGGAGCCTTGGCCATGACCTGCTCATCCGGTCTTGTGACGTTTTCTTCTTTTTTTTTTGGGGGGGGGGGGGGGGGGTTTAGGGAACCCTGAACCCTAAAGCCCAAATCCTAAACCCCCCTAGACCTTCATGAGCCCGGAGAACGGTGGCATGCAGCTAGTGAACTTTGTCTTACTCACATTCACGCGCATGCTACTGCCGACAAATAACGGTGACGACGATTGCCGTTGTTAGTGAGATCATAGTGCACAAGCAAGCCTGCTTGATGCACGAACAAAGTCATGAGTCATGAGTGTTATTGTCTAGGGCCCAGGCGACCCTAAACCCCTAAACCCTAAACCGCAAAAGCCAAGGTTCAGCATGGAAGGTGTGGCTCATTCGGAGCAGCAGCACTTCGTGTGGATATGCCAGGGCCTCTCAAAGTGGGGTCAATTCATGTTTTTTATATTGGTCAAGACGAGGTTTAGGGTTTAGGGCCTCGGGGTTTGGCTTTGCAAAACTTTGTTAAGAATCAGGCGTCCAGACCTCTAAGTATCTAGTGCTGCTATACTCCAAGCCATCCTAGGACCGAAGCATCCCACACATCGCCAACCTTAAGCCGTCTCTGATCAGGGCCATTAGTCGGCTCTTGTGGCAGCTGGCAGCCTTGGGAACTGCTTGCCTTCAAAATCCGATGGGCTGTATTTACAGCGGCTGTATCTATGCTCTTCTTACATTGAGCCTGTCCCCTGTCCCCTCCCTCCCCCCTCTAGCAGCCCCAACTAGACCAGCTTTTGGAACTCATGTTTTGACTCAAGTTGATTATGTGCATATGGGGTCGTAAACGCAACAACGTCCCCTTGTCGAGGGTCCGCGAACAGCTAGTCAACAGTTGCAAGACTGTTCCCTGAACCTGAAAACAGCAAAACCCTATGTAATGTATGTCCAGGCAGCACGGTGATGGAGTTTTTTTTGGGGGTGTAAGAGTTCATGCTTCTGTGGGTTTAGGAAGCGACATTGTTGCTTTGCTTCCATGGTGGGTTCAAGAAGAACTGAATTCTGAGGCCATTCATCCGACTCCCACGACAGTGCTTTCGCCGTCAAGAGTGCCTCGACGTGGAACTTCCTTTACTTTGTCATAGCTGGGTAGCCGTTTACATTCTTAAGGGTACTTAAAAACCCAATATGAATGCAAATCTAAATTTTTAATATGATCCCAACCATGAACTAGTTTAGGGTTTCTAGGGGCTTTTCGGTTTTAGGGCGGTGGTCAAAGCTGATGCTCTGAGTCTGGGTTCCCAGGGATCTGCAATCTTACCACGAAGAGACCTGAATCATCTTGCGACTTCCAGCATGGGCAATTAGGCCTCGAAAATCCCCCTAAACCCTAAACCCTAAACCCTAAACCCTAAACCCTAAACCCTTTTAAGGGCCTTGTTAAGGGCTTATAGGGTAGAATAGCCCTTGCAGGTTAGCATCTTCGAGCCGCGCGTTCTGGCGTTCAGCACGCGCGCCTTTTCACCTCGCATGCATTTTCCGAGCCTTCCACATTAACCGGCAACATGCCCTTTCTGCCCAGTTATATTCTTGATCTCAGGACATGCGTGCTGACGACATAAGCTCTTAAGATGCGCGTGCTGAACGACCGAACGCGCGGATGTAGCCTTGTAGGGGCCACCAGCGTCCCTAAACCCTAAATCCCAAACCCTAAACCCTATATGACCCCTACATGTCTTCTGGTTCTTCAACTTCGGCTGGCTAGGTCATGTCCTGCGTTTCTGTCTTAGGTGCTGGGTGGGTAACCTTGAACCTTTTGGGGTAGCATACCCCAAACCTAAACCCTAAACCCTAGACCCTAAACCCCCTTGAAACCTGAAGGTTAACCTTCTTGCCCCTAGGGAACTCAGCACCTGAGGTGTCCAGGATGGGCTACTAGGCCTTAGAATCCCCAGAATCAACCGTCTTAAAGGGCCTTTTTGAGGGGTTATATAGGGTATACCCTAAACCCTAAATCCTAAATCCTGGGTGGAGAGTATATCCTGCAAGTCGGCGCCATCTCCGAACGCCCAGGTGAAACCTTCGAGCTCCGTGAAGAGAAGCTCAGTGAGATGAAGTCCCAGGTGGACAAGTGGTGCCAAGGTGCACCCTATACCCGAAACCCGAGACCCTAAACCCTGAACTCGCCCTTTGCTTTGTCTCGCTTGACTTGGCTATAGGCTTGTCTGCGAAACTCGGGGTTTAGCGGATGCCGAAAGTGTGTTGACAAAGGGTCTGGGGGTTCCGAAGGGTTCAGAAAGAAAAATCAGAAGTACTCCGACCGACCACCCGAACCTGGACAGCAGCAAGTCACGGCATCCGACCGTTGCAGGGACTTAAACAATTTGGGCCCAAAGGCCTTATTGTAAAAGGCTCTTGTGCTATTTTGAGCTTAAAGGTTAGAATCTTTACTTAGTTAAAGCACGAGCTACCCATTCTATCTAAACGGGCCCCTACATCAAGCCCCCTAACCCGTGCAACCCGCGTCCTGACTGCTCAACCCTACTTAAATCAACCTTGGCACGGGGTTTAGGGTTTCGGGTTTCAAAAGGGTTTAGGGTTTAGGGTTTAGGCCCGGAAAAGTGGGTCCCACCCTTAGGCAGAATCAAGATTTAAACTTGGGATGTTCCCCCTTAAACTAACAGTCCTTCAGAGGGATTATAGTAGGGAGTACGAAAATCCTTCTTAAGGACTGTTCGTATACGGGGGAACTTCCCAAGTTAAAACCCTAAACCGTAATTGCAGGGGTGCCATAAACCCTCCGATCGTGGACTCGGGTTCCTCGTGCCTGCAGGTCTTGAGAAGCAGATGGGCGAGGTGAACACCTTTCTTGGCTCCACCTTTAAGCTGGGGATCCGGGTTGTTGAGGAAATAGGAGGGTGCTGAGAAAGAGACAGAGCGAGAGAGAGAGAGAGAGAGAGAGAGAGAGAGATGTTGGTTGCGGATTAGGGCTGGAACCTCAACCCTAAAACCTAAACCCGAGGGCATTGTGCTTTGTAGCGAGCTCAAGGGTTTGGGGAGGGCATGGGAGGGCTCAGCCAGGGCTGCTAGGGGGCGGGGGGTTGTAGCAATGTCAAAGGGCTTTTGAGCTTTGCAGCCCCTCCTCTCCTGTAGACTCTCTTCCCTACCTTCATAAGGAAGTATGTGCTTATTTTATTGAGTAGTTGTTAAGCAAATAGTAGAAGGTCGATTCCTTCATTTAAGGGGTTGTTGCGCTCCTCCAGGAACCTGAAGCACCAAAGCCTACACAGCTACCCTAAACCCTCCACTCTAACCCCTAAACCCTAAGCCCTGAACCCTAAATCCGAAACCCTAAACCCGAAACCCTAAACCCTAAACCCTAAACCCTTTTTCCTAAACCCTAAACCCTAGCCCTAAACCCTATAGGCCCTACATAGACCCTAAACCAGTTCAAGAGGTGGACGAGAAGCTCGGAAGTATCATTCAGAAGTTCAAGGCGCGGCTTGAGCCGACGAGGAGCGTTCCGGGCCTCTCTGTGATCACCGTGTGACATGCTGCAAGGTTTAGGGTTTAGGGTTTAGGGTTTAGGGTTTAGGGTTTAGGTTTTAGGGTTTAGGGTTTAGGGTTTAGGGTTTAGGGTTTGGGGTTTAGGGTTTAGGGTTTGTGGTTTAAGGGTTTAGGGTTTAGGGTTTAGGGTTTAGGAAATGACTACTCAAGACATGATTGCGAGACCCAAGTGGGTACTGACTTCTCCAATTGGTCAGTTTCTAGACACCGTCTACATGGATTCTTACTCTTGCAAGCTGTGCTCATGCACTGGAGATTCTATCCGGCTGGGCAGAAAGTCTGACCGCGACGGGGTGGTTGAGCTTTTATGGCAAGCTCCCTACGTAGTGACTTCGCACGAGGCAGTGACTTCATGTGGTGATAAACCAAAACAAATCTCTATGTACCCTGCCTTGGAGCTGGTCGACGAGGAATCTCAAAAGCAGCTTTCATGTCATGACTTCAGCGACTTGAACAAGCATACCGAGTCGAGGGGCAACCTCAAGTCCAGGCTGCCTAACCAGCCAAGATGGCATACGCATTGAAACGCACGCAAGCCAAACTGAGATGGAGGTGATCTCGCGGTGCCAGTTTTATGACAATCATGCCCGAGCACCGCGGAGAAGGCTGCGGCATATGATGCAATGGTGAAACCCTTGCAACTACGCATGGGCGCTCTGGAGCGGTAGCCTGGAGGAGGCAGCTCCCCCAGGTCCTCTATGTTGCCCAAGACGTTTGAGGTCCTTCACAGCGACGCTGGTTCGTCGCGTTCTGCGCGCCTGGTGCCACGTCCTGACCAGCAGAATTTCGTACGCACTGAAACGCATGCAACCCAAGCTGAGACGGAGGCGATCTCGTGGTGTCAGCTTGAGACAACCATGCAGGCCACAATGGAGAAGAATACGGCATATTTTGACACTTTTTTGCTCAAAATCCTAGCTTAGATGTGAATTTTGGATGAATATCCGTCCAAAAATCAGGCCCAACTTGGTGAATACAAGCAGTTCTGTAGCGAGAATTGGCCTCATGAAGGAGAGTATGAAAGCTGCTGTTAATTTCCTGGGAAATTGGCCTTTGCAGTCCTAAACCTGCCGCAACTTTCATTTGGTCAAGAAAGTAAATCGTTCAAGAAAGTGAATGCTGAAAAGCAGAAAGTAAATGCATGTTTTTCCTCAAAACTAATATGCCGTTTTTCTAACAATTTACGGGACGAGACGCCATCATGCTTCACACGTGTACGCATGTACGCGCACACACACACACACACATTTTCTACATACTTACTACTTAGCAGCTAGCATCTAAAAATGATGATCTGTGATCATCATCATTTTTAGATGCCAGCTTGCTTTATTAGGCTTCTTCTAATAAAATAGGAGGGGCCTATAAGGCCCCTCCTCTTTTATTAATGTCTACTCCTGTCCGGAAGATTAGAATCTTCCATCCTATATCGCCCGGACAGTTCGTAATCGTAAATAAATTTCACCTACACAACTACTAAGCAGCTGTTTTACGAATACCGTTAAGGTACATTGTAGAGGTGGAAGACGTCTATTAGACGTCTTCCTCCTCCAAATTTGTATGTTTACGGTAAATATCAGGCCGATAGGCCTGATGTTTTATGTTAGGTATTACTTGTTGGTCTAACAGACCAACAAATGATTTTTGTCAGGTTCTTCCGCTTTTACATACATTGACCCAAGCCAGTCGAGGCGAAGCCAAGACTTACGTTTAGTGGGCAGGAAGAGATGCTTTGGCATCTCGCCCTGCTTATGTTTGGTTAAAACTAAACTAAACTAAACTAAACTAAGCTAAACTACCCTCGAGGCGTTTCTTGCCGAATAGGCAAGAATAAGCCGACTGGTGATGAATCCTGTTGGGATTCTCAATCCCAACAGAATTCATAGCTAGAGAATGTGTGTCTGTGCACGAGCTTGCTTGCGAAGTGATGTTGTTTACAAAATCACGATGTCCTATTTTCTAACGATTTCACCTTAGAAATGGGAAGTAGTGTTTAGGCCAGGAAGAGGTGGCACATGGATTTTGCAGCTTGCGAGTTCAATTTCGTGAGCAGAACTTGGTGGCCCAGCTATTTTGCTAGCTGTTTAGGGTTTAGGGTTTAGGGTTTAGGGTTTAGGGTTTAGGGTTTAGGGTTTAGGGTTTAGGGTTTAGGGTTTAGGGTTTAGGGTTTAGGGTTTAGGGCAAGTTCAAGTTCTCAATCCGAGAATTGGATGGTACATGCATTTTGCCGATGCGAGGATGGTTTTGGAATTGGAAATTTCTCTAAATTATGGTGACTTTTGATTTTGGGGCTACTATTACAAGGCGCTCCCTGATAGCTAGAGTCCCCAAAACGGGACCAAAGTTCGAGAAGTTACCAGATAGGTAGCCTGGTAGGAGGTGTGGCGGTGGTTCCTTGGTCCACCACATTACCTTTCACCCTTGCTCACCCTAAACCAGAACCCTAAACCCAACTAAACTCTGGACCTCGGTACTCTGTTTCTGCACAGGCTGGCTTAGAGTTGAGGGCTTTAGATGGCTGTCGTGGTGGCTTGGAATCGAAGGCTCCTGGCAACCTTCCCTCATACACCCAACGTATCATGGCTTAAATCCCACGCGACCATCTGCGTTTTTGCAGGTTCATATCTGCTTTGCAGCTGTTAAGTCAGGCGACAAAAGCCCCTGCGGAAGCTTATCATGAAATTGGAATACGGAACCCTAAATCCCCAAGAAGCTCGTGAGAGGAAAGCCACTGTCATGGGCAACTTTGCCTTTGCCACGCAGATCTTCACGGGCGGAAGCAAGTGAGGGCAGTGTAGCCTTACAAGCTCTATAGTAGGGCATTCGGGAAACCCCTAAACCCTAACCCCTAAACCCTAAACCCTAAACCCTAAACCCTAAACCCTAAACCCTTGCATCGCCCCCGATACATCCCTTCAAGGCATGAGGGGACCGACTTCCTTAAGTTCCCTACGAAGAGCCTGTAAGGAAGCTGTGCTTCGCTTCCCTTTTAAGGCCTAGGCGGCCAAGTTAGGCTTTTGGGGTTTAGGGTTTAGGCTGTAGGGTTTATAGGGTTTAGGGGTCCAGCGATCTTTGTATCATCGAACAACTTGTAACAAAAATCGACAAATCCTCAAAGCAGAACAAGCGCTGGTCCTCCACCCCACCCCCCCCCCGCCCCTACCCCAGCCCAATATGCACGAGTTGTTGTAGGCGAGGTTGTTTGCTGCTGGTGTATGCCGAGGACACGCAGAACAAAGAAGCAATGGTAACCAGGTATCTATGTTCACCGTCTCACCTGCGGCTCGCAAGGGTGATTGGGCCGGCATTTGGAGACCGAAATCCCGTAGATTCTGATGTCTTGAAGGTTCATTGGTAGATATAAGTAGGCTTCTAACCTTAACCAAGGTACACATAGGCTTATAAGCAAAACACCCTATATGACAACCTTAATTAAGGTACATATGGCCAGGATCCCCTTATATGAAGCACGCAGGACCCCAAAAAGGCACCCCTAAAATCGTAAACCCCTCCATGCCATAGAACCCTAGTTATAGTACCCACGAAGTTGCAAGAATCGTTCACCAACTTCCTGTCTTGGAAGCCATTAGGGTTTAGGATTTAGGGTTTTGCCTGTGCAAAAGAGGGCTTTGCCTGTGCAAAAGGGTTTGGGGTTTAGGGCTAAGGATTTCGTTGAAGGAGGGTTTTCTTGCCAGTCGAGCCTTCTGTGGCTGAGTGTTTTTTCTCTACTGGTTTTCAGAGGACCAAATCTCGGAACATATTTCAGCGGGTTTAAAGGGTCATCCTAGAAGAGACTCTAACTCTTCATGTTGGCGCTCCTTCTTGGAGTGCTTAGGGAAAGGAAACATGAATTGTGCAAGTTGCGTGGCAGACCACCCGAGGCCAACGTTCTCCTGATGATTTGTTGTTAACAGTTCTTTGCTCCTTCCAAAAGCCCGAGGGAATAGTAATAACAACCCTAAACCCTGAACCCTAAACCCTAAACCCTCAACCCTCAACCCTAAACCCTAAACCCTTACTGCAGTTATTTAAAGGGGTTGTATCGAAGCCTGGCATCCCACCCTGAGCCCCGCGAAGCGCAACGCAGCTCTGCCAGCATCAGCGGGTGGAGCGCGCGCTCCGAGTCGAAAAATGAGACACCGACATGAACTTCAGGGTTTAGGCTTTAGTGTTTAGGGCCAAAGTTTAGGGTCTAGGATCTCTGAGGGGCGAGTTTAGGGGTTTGAGGTTAACCCTTAATCCTACACGTCCATACAACCCCCCGAATCCATTTGTGTGTGTGTGTTTTTTTGAAGTTACTAGCTGGAGGTTGCAGAACAGCTATGGGACCTCGATAGCCAAAGTGTCTACTAGATTCTTTGGCCCAACCAAAGCTTGGGCCAACCAAAATGCGTAGTTCCCAAAAGAGGTTTAGGGTTTAGGGTGCCCCAAATATACCCCCAAAATTCTAAACCCTTGTTCTAGAAATCCCCCATAAGGTTTGGGTAAGCCAGGGGAGTTAGGGGTTTAGGGTTTTCTTTTTAGGGTTAGGGTTTAGTAGTGCAGCTAATTCACCAAGGTAGATCTGTAGGGAACCCTACAGCCAAAACCCCAAAGCCTAAACCCAATGTTGAAGGTTTTTTGCAGCCGCGCCGAAGCACCGGGTAGCTAAACCTTTGTAACACCAAGAAGCCTGAAGCCCCACAGGCTAGTATGAGCCCTTGAGGTCCTATGACGACTTCTAGCCTACACAACCTCTACATACCTATAAACCTCAAAAGCCCAATAAGCCCTTTAAGGCCCTATGGAACCCTTAGAAGCCCTAAAGCCTGAACTGGCGCGAGGGTACAGATGATCCTCGAGCAAAACTCGGTACTTTGCCCCCAGAACAGGAAGGAGTCTGGGCCAGGGTGCATACCTAGTCATGAAAGTACCATTGGGTTTAGGGCTTAGGGTTTAGGGTTTAGGGTTTAGGGTTTAGGGCATTAATCAGGCTCCGGTGCATAGGTGACCCTGATTAGGGCGTTTGAGAGAAGCGGCGAATGACATGGCCTGCATGACTCCAATGTCGATTGACGGGGAAGCTGCCTCGAGCTGAGTGGATTCTTAGGGTTTAATTAGGGTTAGGGTTTAGGGTTTAGGGTTTAGGGTTTAGGGTTTAGGGTTCAGGGTTCAGGGTTCAGGGTTCAGGGTTCAGGGTTCAGGGTTCAGGGTTCAGGGTTTAGGGTTTAGGGTTTAGGGTTTAGCGTGCTTCAACGGTCTATAGCACGCAGGATTAAAACCCCAAGCCTACGCTACTGAAGGGGCACAGGGCGTCTAGTCTTCTAGCAAAATTCAGGATGGGACTCTGGGGTTTCATATGGGGGCTTTGTTTCCAGGATGTCTTACACCTGACAGGATGGTGGGTCACAAGGGGCACCCGCCCAAAGCCCCCAAAACATCAACATACACAGCCACACACATGCACACTCACTCCCGCCACAGGCCCAAAGTTGGATAGCTGATGCCATTGCGGCGAAGTCTGAGGCTGGCAGCTGCACGGACTTGCATAGAGGGCAGGGCCTGGCGACTTCCGGCTCTGCTGTATCCCAAGGCGTGAGCCATTCAAACCACTCGTTTAGGATTTAGGGCTTGAACTCGAAACACCTGTAAGCCGCAACTCTTGCCCTGAACCCTGAAACCTGAACACCTAAACCGTCGCCATGCTTGCGGCCCAGAGACTTGGTTTGGGATTCCAAGTATCAGATGTAGCCCGGGGTGCCTGGGTTTGTATAATTGAAGTTGGCGTTTAGTCAAAAGGGCTGGGGATTAGAAAGCTGAGGGTGAGTTCTTGTCCTGTGCGCGTGCTGCTTTGGAGCACACAAGTTGTGAATGGCAAAGGTACAACAAGAAGGGCTGCCAGCAAGACCTTAATTCCCCCTCCCCTTTACACTCTTCTAGGGTATTACTACTCTTTGCTTAAGAACCCTTGGCAAAGAAAATAGCCATCCCTCTCTTGCTCTTATAAGAAAGAACAATTTTTGTTTTGGGGGATTGTCAAGCAACTTTGACGTGGCTGGGAGCTACATTGGGCTCGAGCTCCCCCCCCCCCATATCCCAAGACACGCAACCAGGGCGAATCTATGAGAATTTAGGGTTTAGGGTTTCGGGTTTAGGGCTGGGATCGTTTTGGACTTGGGGATTATCTATAGGGCTTGCTGTAGATTCAAGGCGCTGCTTCAGCTGTGAAGTCCAAGCCTCGTAGGGCACCTTCTTCTCATCCAAACATTGAGCCGCTTCCGAAACCACGATGCTTGTTAGCGTTTAGGCAGGAGATAGGAGAGCACCCAACATCAAGCAAGACACGCCACCACCATCGTCTCTGGCCGACTGTCGTGATGTGGTCCCACCTGGGAAAGTTCGGAATTTTTGCCAGCGGCTGTGTACCCAGGCAGCAGCCCAAGTCCCCTAAGCCCTACAAACGCCCGGGGAAGTCCCGCAGTCCCTCGTCCGGTGGCTCCGAAAACTGGCGAGACGGAGTTTAGGGTTTAGAGTTTAGGGTTTAGCGCAGCAAGTTAGGATTCTGAATGTCAGGCAGCTTGGCCTAGGAGGTTCTTTGCGGTCCCGACCCCGGGCAAGTGAAGATCCACAATCCAGATTGGGGTTGACAAGGTCGTTTCCCTGAGAGGCCTCCTAAAGGAAACATCGGAGCCTCAATAACTACCAAAGTTCTCCTGTTACATGATAGTGGAAGCTACCCAGAAGAAAGCCTCTCGTGAAATTGGCCCCGAAACCCTAAGCCCTAAACCCCAAACCCTAAACCCCAAACCCCATACACTTCGAGCTGTTCATTTCCGAGGTTACTGGGGCCGCTGCTGCTACAGCTGCCCGGGCCTACGAGCGGCGGAAGGTGGCGAGACATGGGTTTGGGGTTTAGGGCTTATTGCGTCAGGGCTTAGGGTTTAGGGTTTAGTGTTTAGGGCTTAGGGTTTAGGGTTTAGGGTTGAGGGTTTAGGGATTAGGGTTTTTAGGGTTTTTAGGGTTTAGGGTTTAGGGTTTAGGGTTTATTGCATTAGGGTTTAGGGTTGAGTTTTTAGGGTTTAGGGTTTAGGGTTTTTTGAGATCCTCCAAGCTCAGCTCTGCACCTAGCTTGGATCTCGTACCTAGTGATGGTGGTCAATGTGTCCCCAGTCAGTATCCGTCGTCGCTTGAGGATACCGGAGCCTTTCCTGCGCGCGCGCTCGCTCGCGCTAGTTGTGAGAGTCGAAACTCCAGACCCCGAACCCCGCTTTTTGACACACCAAGTATGGGGTATAAAAGGGCCATGCACGAGAACGATGTAGCCTTCATAATGTCGCTATGTTTCTTTGTGGTGTTGCCACATTTGGCATGGAGACTTTGGCGTTGGTCTGGTCAGACGTGAACGAACCTGACAAGATGAGTCTCACATTTCTGCCAATGGCTTTCCAAACTTCGTTGTGCCGCCAGCTGTTGCGTCAGAAGCCCTAAACCCACCACCCTAAACCCTAAACCCTACACCCTAAACCCTAAACCCTAATTCCAAGGGAGGTTTTAGCTTGGACTGGTTCAGGCCGTTAGGACGTTGCCGGGCTGCTGCATCTGTTTTCAGACGCAAGTTTGCGATGCCCTGCTCGCAGCTTTCTACAAGGAGGGCCCCCTTAGTATACTAACTCTAGTTAAGGGACTTATAACCTCATTTAGGGTCCTTATAAACCCAATTAAGGGCCCTTATAACTCTAGTTGTAACTTGGGGGCCCCTCCTTGTAGGGCTGCAAGAACTCTTGGCAGACGTACCCAGCCTGAACCCTAAACCCCAAGCTTTCAACCAGAGTCTAGAGCTGCCAATGCCCAACAGCCTTTTTTCTGGAAGTTGGTACTATCCTATAGGATTGTGGTCTCCCTAATTTGGCCCCAAGATCCTGTATTTGTGTAACATCACAAAGCACGAAGGGGTAAGGCAGTGCCCTCCCCTTTTTTGGCAAGCTCCAAGTCAGCTGCATGCTTGGAGGTTCATGGGTTATGAGTACCTTAAGTAAGGGTTGTAATATAGTTTACCTTACTTGTATAACCCTACTTATAACAAGCATAGACCTTCCCATGAACCTTCAAGAGTTCAGGCGGTGCTGTCCGGCGAGTACTACGAACGCTCAGGTGGAGAGTTGAGAAGGGCTTTCGGCTTTAGGGTTTAGGACCAAGGTTTGGGGTTTAGGCGGGTTTTGGGGGCACGTAAAAGAGTCCTCTGGCAAAAGGGTGTTTCGGAGCTTGCTCGATGCTGCACAGCTATTGCTTGGCAGCTGGCATCCTGACAGCTCAGAATCAAGCAGCTGCCACAACCTGATTGGAAGAGCTACAAGGCTTTACGATGCAACAACAGCTAGGGCAGACAGAGCAGTTTCGCGGCACAAGAAGATCCGTTCCTTGGACCTAAACCCTAAACCCTAAACTTGGCCGCCGTGAATCTCGTGTCTCTAAAGGCCACCCAACAGTTGCTTGAGAACCCCAAGAAAATAGAAGGGAGCCATCCCTAGACGGCCCTTGCATGTCTTGTTTCGTAGTCTGAAGCAAGTAGTAGTTTCCCGAAACCCTAAACCCTAAACCCTATTTTTTATTCTGAAGCAAGTAGTAGTGACCTCAAAGCTGCTTGAGCCATGGGATCTTGTTCGAGCCGCTCAGACGGCTTCCGCTCGGAGCATCAGCAGCATGCCCCAATGTGGGTGGTGAAGGTGGAGCACCTGGGTAAGCCCTTGGAACATGTCACGAAAGCTCGCGTAGCGAAGCTGGAGTTTTATCTGCTTTAGCAGCAGGGGGCCGACCACGGCCAGAAAACAGCGTATTATTGATACTATCTTATTAGGGGGGGGGGTGCCGGGGGGGGGGGGTAAATTGATATATCACACGAATTCCTTGGGGGAGGGGGGGGGGGGGAGGGGGGGGGGGGAGGGGGGGGGGGAGGGGGGGGGGGGATGGGGGGGGGGGAGGGGGGGGGGGGAAGGGGGGGGGGGGGGAGGGGGGGGAGGGGGGGGGGGGAGGGGGGGGGGGGGGGGGGGGAGGGGGGGGGGGGGTTTGAAATAAATTGATACATCACACGAATTCCCTGGTTTGGAGGGGGGGGGGGGGTGGGGGGGGGGGGGGGTAAATTGATATATCAATACCTTACGGGGGGCGTTTTTACGTCAAGACCTGACTCCGTCGCGTGTTGACCGCAGCGCGTGAGTCAGGCTCCCAGCACAACATGCGTCGCCGCCCACTACTGATGTGTTGATTGCAACAAGCTAGTTGATTGCAAGAAGCTAGTATCTACCCAACACTGCGACGGCTGAACAGAAGACGCTGGCCCCTCAAGCATGCCTCCAACTGGGCCCTGCCCGCACTTTCTCTTGCAACTTTGCTCTTGCTTCCGGCCCCCGAGCTTTCGTCCTCCATGCCTCCGGCCCTCAAGTTTTATCTTGCCCCATAGTTATATATGTATATATGTTGGGTTAAATTGGATCCTAATTTTCTGAGCATTTTTGCAGGGTGTTTCTCAAGGACCAGCCTAGAGGTAGATACCTTCTGGAACATGTGTTCAGAGGTTTTCTTCAAAAAAACAACCTGCAGGTACCTTCTGGAAAAGGCTTTTTCAGAGATTTTCTTTTAAGGACCAAGCTATAGGCACCTTCTGGAATAGTTTTTCAGTTTTCTTCAAAAAACCAAGCTAGAGGCACCTTCTGGAGATGAGGGAGAGATTCCGGCCGCATCAAGCCTTGAAGGCCTCAAAGCTTCTGGAGCAGTGGCTTGGTAGGGAAGGCCTTTTTTTGTTTTTTGGTTTGTGTCTTTTTTTGTTGGTCGATTTTCTCTTTTTGAAGATGCTTGCTAGCCCAGTGGTACTCTTCACCTTTTTTTTTTTTTTTTTGGGGGGGGGGGGGGGGTGTTTGGGTTTCTCTTTTTAAAGTAACCAACCAAAAAATGGGTGCCCTTAGTAGCCCTAAACCCTAAACCCTAAACCATGGTGCCCTTACTGTGAGATGGTAACTGGGCTGCCAAGGTGGAGCCCGGGGATGTTTACGATCTTCATCTCCCACCAGTGGCTGGGCCGCCATCACCCGGATCCGAACCTTGGTAGGCCCAGTGGTGCACTTGTTTTCCCTTTGTTTTTGATCAAGGTTTCCTTCTACAGTAACCGACCCAAATCTGGGTGTTTTTCCTCTTTATGTTGTTTTTGGTTCAAGGTTACCCCAACAAAAAGTATCTTTTATCATGAGATGGTCACTGGGCTACCAAGGAACGGAGAGCAGCTGCGAGTGCTTCAAGGCTGCTTGAGCAACCTGATTGCGAGGAAGCTGAAGATCGAAACGGATGTCCTCTTGCAGTGGAATGGCGGCAGGCTGACCGAAGGGGAGCTCCGTCAAATAGAGGGCGCGTACCTTTGGTTAGACTACTTCTGTGTGCCTCAACTTGTGGACGACCATGTGGATGGACTGGCCGAAGATCAGCTGCGATATGTTCACACCATCCCCAGCTACGTGGACCACTGCAACCTGTTCTTGGCTTTGGTGCCAAAAGCTCGCCACGAAACAGGGTCCGAATGTTCAATCCACACCTGGCTTGCCCGGGGTTGGTGTCGTACGGAGCTTTGGTGCCATTTCCTCTCATCCAAAGTGCCCATTGTAGCCGCGAAAAGCCATGATTTGGCGCAATTCGTGAAGCCTCAGTGGCATCGCTACCCGGTCCATTTGGGCGACTTTGGTGTGGAGAAGGATCGCTCTTCCTGTAAAAGTGTGGTTCAAACAGCTTTGACCCAATATCTCGCCCAGCTGAGTGTCGCCAAGAACAAGACCGTCTACCGGCTGTACCTATCTCTTTTTGAAGATACTTGGTAGACCAGTGGTACCCTGTCCTTTTTTTGTTGGTTCAAGGTTCCTTTATAAACTAACCAACCCAAAAAAGGGTACCTTTGTGAATATGGCTACTGGGCTACCAAGGATATGACAGGTTTGGCCGGCAAGCGCCGGAGTGCCGAGGAGTTCCTGATGGACTTCTCCTTTTCCAAGCCGCTCAAGAAGCACCGGGGCCTCGGCCCAGTGGCTTGCGCGGCGCTGTCGGGAGATGCCGAACTCATTCACAGCCTGGTCATTCTTAAAGCCTCCCTTCAGAGCCATATGCCAGGCTTGCCTGAGGTCATGAACCTCCCAGACTTCACGCCACTGCACTTGGCTGTCTGGTTCAGAAGCCGCGACCTACGCATCTTGGAGACACTCTTGGACTTGCGTGCCGACCCGAACAGCTGCACTGTGAATGTGGATCCACCCCTGGGTTTTTGCCGCACAGCTGGAGCTGCAGAGCTATTGGTTCGGCACAAAGCAGGCGTGAATCTTCAGGGAAAGACCTTGGGACAGCTGTGCCCCCTCCACAGTGTGGCAGCCTTCGGGGCTCCATCCGAAGTGCTGACTACCCTGCTGGATCTTCGGGCGGATGTGCAGGGCGGTCGGGGAGGGCTTGCAAGTGCCTCGCCTTTGCATTTTATAGCCTTCTGCGGTGACTCCCAGAACGAGCTAGCGTCGGCCCAGCTGTTGCTGGACCGCAGGGCCGACATGAACCAAGTTTGCCAACCGGACGGCCTTTTAGCAACTTCGCAGCCCAGTGGTACCCTTGACCCTTTTTTTGGGTTATGGGTGCCCTTATAAGTAAACCAACCCAAAAAAGGGTGCCCTTGTTGTAATATGGTTACTGGGCTACCAAGGCAAGGAGCGTCCAGCGGATCTCTCAGGTGTACAGCAGGTGTTGCAGGGAGCCAAGCGCCGTGGTGAGGTGGTTTCGTGATGTGAGCAGCACGCCTTTGGGCTGGTGCGTGACCTTTGAGAACGAAGGCTACTTGGCTTTCCTGCTCCGCGCAGGAGCAGACCCTGAGGTGCGCAATAGCAGGGGTCTTCGGCCCATTGACATGGCAGGTGCTGAGAGAATCCGAGGGGTGTTTCAACAGCCTACACTACATGTTGACCTCCCGGAGGACGACTCTGAGCTGTTTCTGGAACATTTTTGACCCAAAGTGCTCCTTCGCTGGCCCCGATTTAAGGTAATTCACTCGAGTATCACCTCTCCTTTTCGAGCCGCTGTTCCGAAAGACGCCTTACCGCCCTTGGATCAACCCCCATTTGCAATATGAGTTGCTGACCGAGGAGCATGCCCCGGACGCTTGCGTGAGACGGTTTAAAGTTTAGGGGGACGGGGTTCCGTGTCTACAAAAAGGGGCTAGGGGGTTGTGGGGTTAGATTCGCTATGGGGTTTGAGAGGTTTAACAGGGTTCATAGGGCTTGCAACAGGTATTTTCGGGCTTCAAAGCAAGGCTAGACTAAACATGGCTCTCTAACGTCCTCCGTTCTCGGATCCTGAAGTACTCCTCAGACCCTGGACCTAAACCCTAATCCCTAAGCCCTAAACCCCAAACCCTCGGTTGTTTATTTGTTTTTTGGATCCTTTGTCTTTTGATCCGGCAGCCAAACCCTAAACCCTAAACCCTAAACCCTAAACCCTAAACCCTAAACCCTAAACCCTAAACCCTAAACCCTAAACCCTAAACCCTAAACCCTAAACCCTAAACCCTAAACCCTAGCCTGAGCCAGAGAGGTGCTTTCTACCAAGTGCTGGGCCATGCTTGGGATCCTCGGCCTGCCGGGAGGCCGTCAGCCCCCAATTTAGTGTACTGGGTACAAGGTAGAGTTTATGGGGTTTAGGTTTTAGGGTTAGCGTTTAGGGTTTAGGGTTCAGAGTTCAGGGTTCAGGGACCCTGGGTTCAGGGTTTAGGGTTTAGGGTTTAGGGTTTCTGAAGGGTTCAGGGTTCAGGGTTTAGGTTTTAGGTAGACTCTTATTGGGATGCGGATCCTGTTTGGGAGCATCTTTCAGAGGGTTTTAAGGGCCAAGCTCTTACGCGAATGGCCTATGCTCACCTGGAGCTGTCGGCCATTGTTCTGGGTTTAATAGGCTTCAGGGTCTAGGTCAACCCTAATCAGCCCTCCATGCACGAGGCTGCGGCAAAGGTGGAGGTCGAGGATTTGGCACCAGGTGAGTTGTTGCTCTTGAGGTTGTAGACTCGTCTTCAAGAGTCTTGTGGGTGGTCGGGCTTCTGCTGTGTTCCGTTTACCTAAGGGTCCGTGGACCTACATAGTATACACTTGGGCCTTAGAGGGGTTCCCATATTGTAGCTTCAGCGCCCAAGTATATACTCTATACTTCAGGTACATGGACCCTTAGGGTTTATTCCAGGTTGTCCGGATCGCAGGGTTAGCCAGGCACCTCCAACTTTAGGCCTCAAACTCCGGAACTCACAGACCTCAGAAGGCCCAAATCCCTGTAAGCCCGTACAAATTTTCAAGGGAAGGGACCCCGGATGAGAAGCAACCTCCCCCCACTTTTCCGACTTCTCATTCTCTAAGGATCACTTTCGCAGAGATTTCTGACGCTGGGACGGCAAACAGAAACGTGCAGGGCACACACGCACAGTCGCAGGCACAGGCACAAGCTCATACACACGCGCACACACACACACATGCGCATCATGCACCTATCAGAAAAGCAAACCAGCCCGTCCGCGTCCTTGATGTGCCAGTGATATCTATGCAGCTGGCACATTAAGGAGACGCACGGGCTGGTTTGTTTTCGTGGAGTCGATTCGGTTTACACCGTGTTGTCTCTGGCTTTGTCATCATGCAGACACGTCAACCTGGAATCTCTAGTTACTCTAATATAGCGGCCTCAATCATTAGAACAGGGTGTTGGGGTAATTATAGTACATTTAAACAGGAACAAAAAAGGAGATGCCATTAGCAATTCTTCCGACCCTTTTGTAGTTCGTACCATACAGCTGCAAGCATGGCTGCAGGGCCTTTGTGGAGTGATGACCCATGTTGGGAAGTTCCCCCTTATACCAACAGTCCTGAATTAGGATTAGGGTTTAGGGATTACGGATTATAATCGGGGGCACTACAATTCCTCTTAAGGACTGCTAGTATAAGGGGGAACAACTTGCCCGCGTTGGACGAAAGGCAAGTTTATTGGCAAGCATGGGCACGTGTGCGCGCAGGCCTGCTTCTTTTTGGCAGGGGGCTAGGAGAGGGAGAGAGGGGAGGGGAGGGGGAGGGCTTTTGCGAGTAGCTTTTCTTCATGAGCTTTGGCCCGAGCGAAATCTCTATGCCGATGTCTCTGAGGCGTCGTCTACCGCCCGCTCTATCATTGCGAGGCTCTTTTGCATCTGTGTTTGTTGCCTTTCTGTGTGTGTGTGTGATGTTGGACACAGAGAACGATGTGCTATGACGCGCTTATCTAAAGGATTGTCATTGCCTGCTGGTGTCCAGTTTGCATGCACAGAAGCTGTCTTCTCAAGTGTCCTTTGATAGTTGGATTTTGCAGCCCTAAACCCTAAACCCTAAACCCTAAACCCTAAACCCTAAACCGCAGCATCGCACTGAACTGTACCAGGCTCGGAGGCGTCTTTAAGGCAATAGTGAGCTGCAAAGGCAACCCTTCCAGGAAGTTGCAGGAAGGACAGGCACAAGTGCAAGTGGCTTTAACCTTATCCCCCTATATACATATATATATATATACCCTTTAAGGGATTATATGGGGTACCTCATTCCCTCTTTCCTTATACTAACTAGGACCAACAGGCAGTTACATGCCCATGGCAGGCCAAGGAGGGCAGCTTTGAAGCCCACGTGTTGGCGACGTCGCATTTCGAGCGACACTCGGCCTAGCAACGTCGACGCGTAGCTTTGCCCAGCGCTGGTCTACCATGAGCCCCCCCCCCCCTAGTTACAAGTAGAGTTATAAGAGCCCTGAAGTGGCTTGTAAGGATCCTCAATTAGGTTATAAGTAGAGTTATCAGAACCCCAAATTTGGGTTAGAAGGGTCCTCAATTAGGTTCTAAGTCCTTTAATAGTTAGCAGAGTAAGGGGGCCCCTCCTTGTAGCTGGTGACAAACGCTGCCGACGTAGTGTCGCTATCTGCATGGTCACTAATCACAGACTGCCGTGCCTGGGCGTCGGCATGTCAAGATGCGTCATGCCCCTCCCCAAAAAGCAGCAGTACGAGGCAATGGCCCTTAGCGTCCTAGGACAATCGAAAGCTCCATCCCAAGCCGAATGCCCCCTGGTTCTTAGTAGGGAGTGAGGGAATTAGAGCCCTATGTACCCTTTAAAGGATTACATCCCTAGATACCCTTTAAAGGATTACATAGGGTACCTCATTCCCTCATTCCCTACTAAGAGCCAGAGGCTTGCTCAGACATGGGCCGAGGCTTCGAGAAGTTCCGACGCGTGGAGTTCGATGACATGAGTATGGATGCGAGGAGCTGCTGGCTTGAGAACTCGGGGCAGGTTTCGTAGGGTTCAGGGAAGGTTTGGGGCTTAGGGCTTAGGGATGCAAAAGGGTTTAGGGTTTAGGGTTTAGGGCATGTTATAAGGGGTTCGGAGGCGAGGAGATTGGATGAGCGTGGCTCGGGAATTGGGAGGGTTCAGCGCTATGGACTCAGAAACGGAGCCACGCAGGATCAGATGTAATGAATGCACTTGGCCAGGCCTCTAAAGTTTAGGCGCACCATGTGTGCAGACATGAATGGATATGAACGGAGGACGCGGACGCCCAGGAAGGATGGAATCACATAGCCTGGCTAGCGCTGAGGAAGTAATTACAGTAGCTGGAACAACCCTAAGCCCTAAGCCCACTACTAGAATGTCCCGAGGGAGGTGCTCCAGAGACTTCGAAGAGGGGAGGCAGCTGAGACGCGACGAACTTTCGGATTCCGCCGTAGTGTTTGCAGGGGAGTGAGGAAGCAGGCCAAGGGAGCTTAGGGTTTAGGGTTAAGGGTTAGGGGTTTAGGGTTGTGTTTTCAAGCCTTCGCGGTATGTAGCTGGACCTTCTGAAAACGACGCATCTTGCAGCCTCATATTTGGGGTCCCAGCACATCTTCTTGAATCTACAGCGGGGGTTCCTACTTCTATCTACTTCTTCAATTTCTGATGCATCACCCCCCCCCCCCCCCGACATTGGTCCGTTGCCTTGGAGGAGTCCTTCCTTTAGTTATCCTTTTCGGACAGTAGAACTACTATCTGCTTAAGAACCCCCCCAAAACAAAACGCAAAAACGCCAATATTGCCCTTACAAGGAAGAATATTTTGTTTTTTTGGTGTTCTTAAGCAAATAGTAGAGAAATAGAGAAACAGAGAAAGAGAGACAGCAGCTCTGCCAGACAAAGGCTTGGCCCTTCCAGGGCCGTTCTGGCACGACAAGGTCCGGGGAGGGGGGGGGGGGGTCGAGGGTTTAGTCCAGGGTTTATATTATAGTTCGTAGGTTTACTGAAGGTTCTGTGATGGGCTCTTTCATGCTTAGGTTTTCCAAGAAGCATTAGGGCTTCAGCTGCAGCGTGTGGGTTTCCCCTAAGTACCAAGACAAACCTGAAACTCAAAATGCTTACCAAACCCCCCAGACTGTCATGCATCCATGCACAACCCCCCCTTAAGCCCCCCTTGAAGCCCCCTTTAAGCCCCCCCTTTAAGCACCGCCTTGAAGCCCCCTTTAAGCCCCTTAAGCTCCCCTTTAAGTCCCCCTTGAAGCCCCCTTAAAGCCCCCTTTACCCCCCCCCCCCCCGGAACCGTCGGCCGTCGACCCGAAGCCCTGGTAAAACAACCCTAAGAGCTCCTGCATCCTCCAGCTTGCCCCTACTTGGAGGTTCATGGTACTTTCTAACCAATGACAACTGTACTTATAATCATCTTGGGGCACTTATGGGGCTTATAAGTGGGTTGTAAGTAGAGTTATAATTGGTTAATAAGTGCCATGAACCTCCAAGTAATCCCCATTATGAACCCTGTAAAGGGCCTTTTTAAGGGGCTATATTATAGGGTATAATAGCCCCATCCTGGTTTTGGGTCCTACCCAGACAAACCTAAACCCTATACCCTAAACCTTAAACCCTAAACCCTAAACCCTAATCGTTGCGCGCAGTTTTGGGGCCTGCGGCCGCACGTGGTGCCCGCGGAGGGCGCTGCA